TTATTTTTTCAAATAGATGATATATTCACATAGTTTCAAAACTGAAATGGTATAAGTCTCTCACCTACCCTACCCTGCCTCCTAGCCCAGTTTCCCTCTCCAGAGATGAGTCATGTTAACATTTTCTCCTGTACGCTTCCAGAAATGATACAAGCATATAGAAATATGCGTGTATATTTGTTTTTCCTTTTCTATTTTTCCACAAATGGTGATTGATTATACACAGTCTTCATTACCTTGCTCAAGTGGAGAGATGACAGGGTGAGTAACAGGAGATACAGTTCGAGAGGTATCCAGGTCCATTTCTTGTAGGGCCTGGTGAGGTGTTTGGATTTTATTCCAAGTGGCATGGGAAGCTCTTGGAGAGCTTTGAGCAGGATCTGGTTTTAAAAGTTTATTGTAGCTTTTGGGTCAAGAATAGACAAAGAAATATAGACCCTTAAAGAGACTAAACAACTATAGAAGGGACCATATATCAATTTTAGAATCAGAAATAATATATATCAAAAACATTTTTGGAACCTTGAATACCACCAGTGTTCTTCCATTGTATTTTTCGTGAAAAAATCAACTATTTGATCTATAAAATAGGCCTCGTGGTACCTAGGATTGAGGGGAAACTAGAGGATTAAAGGATTACCTAAAATAAATGGATATCAGAAAGTCGGATCCCATGAGCTAAGCTTGTCTCTCAGAATGATTTCTTGTTAAGTGAGAATGGAATTTGATAACTAATCATTATGCAAGGTAGTCCACAGAAATATAGTGAGGAGCGTGATGTCAAAAAATGGAATGTAAAGCATACCCTACCTAACAAATGTATAGACTATTACTAATATTAAACAGCCCCTAACACTTGGATCGCAGAATTCTTCTGATAGGTGGGGTTCTCTCCTTTTGTTCAACAAACCACCGGAAAACCAAGTAACTTCGAGCTATAGCGAATTATAGGCCGACTGGGCCCAGCGGGGTGGTGGTTTTTCTCCACATGGTGACGCTGAAATCACACCTGCAGCTTCATTCAGCGTGGAGCCTGGCTGGGGCTGTCACACCCAGGTGGCCTCTCATCTCCCAGAACCTCTGCACTTGACCTCAGTGCTCTAAGCTGAGCCTCTTGACAGCACAGAGACTGGCTTTCAGATGGGAGCTTTTCCAGCGGAGAAGTGCTTGTCAGTCCTCTGCGTGCATCACACTTCCCAATGGCCACGCCCAGAGTCGGCGTGAGAGGGGACTAAACAGGGCATGGGTGCCAGGACGCGTTGTTCATGGAGGCCACCCCTGTGACAGCCTACCGCCGTGGTCACAGGCCTTTTGAGGACTTGAAGGCGACAGAATAGTGAGGCATGGAACTTTCCTGCCTGATGCCATTACTTCTACACCGGACACGTCCCTGCCTGAGAACCTCCTGTAACCCTTTTTACCTTTTGAGAGCACTTTCTTTACATCTTCACTTCTGTTTTGCTCTGCGAGTTCTTCCTGCCCCCATGTGCTCTCTGTAAACTGCTGTTCTTTAGATAGATTCAGTGACAATTTTACTGCTATTTTGTCCCCTTTATGTTCCTTCCTGAACATATGGTCAGCAATGAACACACTAGGTTCCTTTTCCCCCTTCTCCCTACAGGTTTAATTGTTTTCTTTGAATTATGTTCTGGATGCTAAGATGCCCTTCACTCATCCAGTATTAATCCAGCACCTACTATGTTGCCTTATCTGGGTAACATAGCAACAAGGAGCTTACGTTAGAGTGTGGGGAGTTCGACAACAAGAAAGTGAATAATAACAAGAGCAGAATAATTTGAGCTAGTGATCAATGCTGGGGAGAAAATCAAACAGGATAAGGTGACAGAGAGTCGGGTGGTGGGAGCTACTTTAGTTTGGCTGGCAGATGGGGCCTTTCGGAGGGAGGACATTTGAGCTGAGACCTGAATGATAAGCGGCAGCGTCCATCCTGATGGGTGACCGAGCTCCCCAGCTTGGCTGGGACTGAGAGAGTTTTCAGGACATGGGACTCTCAGTGCTAAAACCAGGGCAGTCCTGGGCCGATTAGAGCGGTGTGTCCTCCAGGAAGGGGCAACAGCAAATGCCAGGCCCAGAGCGAGGAGGAGGCGTGGCATCTGCAGGAGGAGAGACAGAAGGCCCGTGTGGCTGAGAGTGGGGGAGGCCGGTGAGGCGAGGTGAGGCTGTCAGGGGATGGTGGGCCCCTGGGCCTTCCCAGCAGTTTGGTTTTGTTATGTGTGTTGGGAAGCCACTGGGGGTTTCAACAGGGAAGGACAAGGTCTTATTTACAGCTATAAATGATCAGTGTGTGGAGCGTAAAGCGTGGGGTGCCAAGGTGGAAATGGGGAGCCCAGTGGAGACGCTGGTTCAGTCTTCAGGCTGGAGACGATGGTGGCTTGGGCCAGGGAGGGGAGCTTCTCATCGTCACTCGCCCTGCCGCTTCGTGCTCCTCTCAGCCTCCTGCTTTCTAAACCAGTAGCTTTTCAATCCTGAAGAGCTGCTCTGCCAAGTATGGCGGTTCCCAGATTTACCACTTGTGCCCCAAACCTCGGCCTGCCTTGCTTCTCACAGGTGCTTTATCAGGCTTGCAGTGTTTTCAAGGTACTTACACAGTAATATAGTTTTTTAAAGTTGCCCATTGTTTTTCTCCTAGGGCCAGACTGAGCAATACTTTTGAGTGCCCAGCTTAAAGTGATTAATTTTTGTCTTGGATGCCTTTGAAGGGTTATAGTTAGAGTTGTGAGACACAAATAGAGCTAGGCTTGGTTAAGGTTAATTTAGCAGGAAAGTGGGGGTACAACAATGTGGTAAGATGTGAACGTATTAAATTTGAGGCTACAGTAGGCTATTCAAGTCCAAATGCCGGGGAGTGGGAGGCATTTAGAAAAGTGGGCCTGGATCTCAGAAGCAAGGTTGGGTCTGTCTATAGAAATGGAGGATTGCATTTGGGGGAAGGCACGGAATTGTTGATTCAGCAGGGCACCAAGGATTTACTGAGGGTGCCTCCTAAGTGCTGGGCGTGTTATGGTGAACAAGGCAGACAGGACCCCTACTCGGGGAGCTGGCGGGGGAAGTAGAGTGGCAAACAATAAATGAATTAAGAAGGTAATGTCACAGAGTGCTAAGTGTTGTGCAGATAGCAAAACAGGGTGATGTGCTCTGGCTGGAGGGGGTGGTGGAAGGTCTTCTTTAGACTGTAATCAGGGAAGGCCTCTTTGAGGAGGTGACATTCTCCCTGAGACCTGAATGGTGGGAAGAGCCATCGACAGGAAACTAGAGGTCTTAGACACCAGAGGCTAGACTAATCCTAGGGAAGCTCTCATTTAGTCAGTGGAGACGTGGAACCAGCAAATGAGAGAGCGAGCAAGAAAGGCAGGGAGTGTGTTGGCTTTGCTCACTAGCAGAGTGCCTTGGACATAGGTTCATGTGAAAGAGAAACAAACCAGGACTGCAGTCTACTGCCAAGACTGAGGAAGGAGAACCCCAAGAAGGCTGGCAACCTTGGCACAGCCCACATGGAAATCAAGACAACGGTAGTTGGTCCTGGGTGTAGGTTACTCGTGGACCATCAAGAATGTCCGCTGGTTAGGGGGTGCGAGTTAAGTAACTGTAAAGGGTTAAGCGGGGCTGGGGAGATAGAAGCAGCATTTTGGACTTCTTTCCCTTATCATTTGTGAAGGTGTCGTAAAAGTCTCCCCACTCTGTGCAGCTCCCTCTGGGAATCTCTCCTGGGCGTGCTCCTGAATTTGCTTGCTTTCTCCTACCTCTTCTGTTACCAGCCTTTCACTTTGGACTCCGTCTTTGCTTTTATTTGCTTCTTGTAAGCCTTGCCACTTTGCAGTCCTGTTCCCTCTTATCTCTGTACCCCACAGCCGCAGGCCAGCCCTGGCCACATGCGCTGGTGGCACCAGTTTCTGAGACTCCAGCCAGATCCAGGAGCCCAGGTGTGGAAGGGGGCAGCGTGATGCAGAGACTGCATGAGATATAGTTGAGATATTTCACAGCAAATGGAAGTGGAGAAAAGGCATGGCATTTCAGTGGGCACCATGGTTTTGTTGAAGATTCCAGAGACCTGTGAATATTTGAAACCAAGGAAAAAAGTCAGTGGAGAGGGAGATGCTGACGATGAAGGGGCAGAGGGAGCTAATTGCGGGAGCAGCTGGAGAGGAGGCAGAGTTGGGAAAGTTCACCTTAAATAGCATGAAATGAAGTGCTTCTTCCTCTGTCTGAACTAAGAGGAAAGGAAGAAAACATGTGGCTGGATACAAAGATTCCTGCATTGGACGAGAGAGGAGTGCGAGCAGCTTACAGTAAATGGCCTGGATCTTTTTAGCGTAGAGCCAGGTGTTCTGCTTAGAGTCAAGCTCCACACAGGGAAAGGAATTTGGGAATCGTCCCTCCAGGGATTTCGCTGGGGAATAATCAAGTGATGAATGAGGACCTGCCAAGCTCCAGCAAGGACCCAGTTGACGTTGGCATGTATTTTTAGCAGACAAAGTCTGCCTTTCTCTCGATGGCTCTGCCAGGACCCAAGCAGCTGGGGCTAATGTTAACTGCTGTTAATACAGAGCTTGGATTTTAGCCACTAATTATATTTCAAGAAGGCATTATCCTCCTAGTTGTACTTCATATTAATAGTAAATCAGAAACTGATTTGTTTTCCTCTCGTCGTTGTACCTGTCAGAAGCTTGTAATTAGAGAGAGCTGCCTGTGGAATGCAATATAAGGAATTTTAATAATGACCTTTCATAGGATTTATTAAACTTGGCTCATTACCTTTAGAACCTGAGCCGTTACGCGAAATGAAAGCTCTGCAACTTAGCCTTTCTTTTGTTCGTAGTAGTTTCTGTGGAGCACTTAAAATTTTGAGGTTACCTCGACCCAAGGGCAGTTTTTGGAAATGTTTTTGAGTAACCAGATCACCATACTGCAATTCTCAAATAGAAATTTGCCAATGAAATGGAAACATATCATTTAAGGACCTCTTTTTCTTTACATATTAGGTTGAAAATGGTGTGTACGTCGCCCATCCACTTCAGGAACGCACAATTCTAATGAGAAAAGAGGGTGAGTCTGCGAAAAGCATTAACGAGATGCTTCTGAGCAGGCTTTCCCGCTACCGAGCATCCCCATCTGCAACACTGGCTGCCCTCAC